TAAGTTCATTCAGATGTTCGAATATATCCGCCATGTATGCAAGTTTGGCTATCCAGTATTCATCATGAAGGTGCTGGCATAGATCGTACATATCTTGACTTGAAAGAAACTCACGCACTTCGTAGCGAAGTTCAAACAGTCGAGCTAAAACTTTTCCCCGGGATAACCAACGAACTTCTGTATAAAACAGTAAGGATTCATGTTCGCTTCCCATTTCTTCACAGAGTATTCCAAAGATTCGCGAATTTAAGGCTCTCGATTTAATTATGTTTATGATCTTAATACATTCATTCATTGTGATCGAAAGCTGTTCGGGCAAATTTTTGACCATCAATGCTTCTCGATGTATGCAGCAATGTGTAATTTGTATTGACGGATTTTTTTGTTTTACACAAGATACAAAACCTTTCTTACTGCCCATCATTGCAGCAGCACCATCTGTACAAATAGCAATGCAATTGGTCCACTGAATATTATGTATTTTAAAAAAATTATCAGTTACTTGGAAAATTTGTTCACCGGTAGTTCTCTCTGGAACCTCCTTACAAAATAAATAATGTTCGTCAACGAAACGTACAATAGCCATCAGTTGTGCTTTATTTTTAATATCGGTTGATTCGTCGATTTGAAGCGCAAAAATTCCAGCCGAAATGATTTTTTTAATTAGTGTTCCCAAAATATCACTTGACATATCTTGGATACGTCTTTTAACAGTATCGGCCGACAAAGAAACTTTACTCACGTCCTTAACTTCGTTTGGCCCAAGCATAAGTCTAACAATTTCCATGCATGCTGGTTTAATAAGCGTTTCACCGATAGTGTGCGGTTTTTTTTGTTGTGCAATTAATTTTGCAACAAGGTAGCTTGCTTCTAATGCCTTTTCAGAAACCGTAACCGCCGATTTCATAAACTGCTTTTGTTTCTTATTTTGATCCAAGCGCCGTTGGAAAAATTGAATGTCTTTTTTGACGCAACTGGGATGATTTGTGATCAAATGACGGTTTAGTTTGCTGGGTACCATTGCTTCATTTGACAACTGTTCACCGCAAATGACGCATTCAGGCTTTGGAGCCGCTTCGTCGCCACACCAAGTGAAACCATATCGAAGGTAGTCTTGATTGTACTTCCTTTTCAGCACCTTTTTTGCTCTTTTTGCAGCACTTATGCTGGAGCTTGTGCTAGGTTCTTCGTCATCTGCTCGTGATTTCAGCAAAAATTTATCCATATTTGAAGCACTATAGTTATTTATAAAAGTAGATACTGCAACAAAACTTAGTCCAGTTCACTTATTTATAAGGCACAAGAATTTATTTATATAGCAATTCACTATTTATTTCACTCTACGATTTATTTGTTTGCCCGCGTATTTATCTGATTCACTTGACTATTCGACTCTCTCTGAGTCTCTGAGCGACGACAGGCGCGCTTATATAGGCAGTGGCGATGTTCAGGAAAACATCGAGTCGCGCCTCGAACGGCACGGATCTTTCTAGTTTAGTCGCCTTCGAGAATCAAGCCGCCGCGCCGCGCCGATAGACGGATAGACGTTTACCATCGGCGCTGTTGTCAGATTGCTTTATTTTTCGCGGGTCTCGCTACAATACGAATCTGATTCGTATTGTCTGCAAGAGCGGCACACCTCAAGTCGGCTTACGGCACACCAGTGTGCCGCGGCACACCGGTTGCGGAGCACTGCAGTCTAATGTATTTTAAAGGAATCCGTTTAAATAATGACATAAGTAATTTAGTAAATACGAAAATATTTTTAAAGGCTTCCAATATTTTAACGGAACTAACATAAACTAAAAATTTTAGTAATGCGCGGATTCATTACCGTTTTTTGTTGTGCAACGTATTAGAGAAATATTTGTTTTATCGTTTCTTACCCTATATTTCTTGTTGCAAAATATACAAAGACGATTAAGTACACCCGTGTTAATATTATTTAAATTAATCTGAGATTTGCTAACTTTAGTAATTTCTGATTGTACATTTGGTTGAATAGATTGTATAGCGATTGTATAAAAATACAGCAGGCCATTAAGCATAGCGTTGTAGGTGAAAAATTTTTCGCGGCACATTCACCATCTTGTCAAAATCTTGCTTTGAGTTTTTTTATATTTTTTTTTCAGCATTTTTCGCACAGTTGACACAGCAGTTGACATTTATTTATACTTAAGATCTATTCGCCTATCCTCAATGGCAGCAAATTTTGGATTTTCTGATAACTGTTTAACAAGCTGAAAAACTTCGCTCAACTGACGCACTTGTGACTGGGGTGGTTAGTACTAATTCACACAACTTGACGACTTCACAAAAGGACTTATTTAAACCAGTTGTTATAAGAAAATTTAACACTAATTTCAGTTGTTTCATAAACAACACTTAACTGGGACTTTAATGCCGGAATATCGAAAAAAAATCCTTAATTGAATTTTAGTGAATTAAAAGCTTCCGATGGAATTTGGATGAATCGTAGTTACTAATATTAAAATTGCACAATTCAACAAATTTTAATTCGTTAAAGTTTTGAAATCGAGAGTTCATTTGTTGTAAAATATTATCAAAAATTTAGGCGTATAATCGACGGTAGGAGGTCTCTCTGTCGCCGACATTATCAATTATAATTCTTTTTCTTTCAGGTTCTAAGCCAATGTTTTGAGTCTTATTCCAAAAGTGTTCAAACTGATCTCGTTTTTTATTCATTTTATTTTTTAAATCATCAATTTGTTTAATGCAAAAGCCAATGTCATTTGACTTTGTCTGTAAAATGTCGAATAAAATGTCAGTAAAAGGGAAAATCTGTGCAAAAATGTTGAGCAAAAAATTGAAATTAAAGTTTTGAGCCAATGCAAATACCCTTTAGCGGCAGTAACAGTTTCAGCATCCCGTTTCTTTATTATCCCAAACGTCTTGAAAAAAGTGACTCAAAGAATCACGGTATTGAAACACTGTTTGCACTAAACGTCCATTGTAGTTCCATCGCGTCGGAGCAACTTTTGAAAACCTTTTTTGAACGTGAATGTCCAAAGCGCAAGTTCTTTTCGATGACTTTGAAAAGAAGGAAGCCAAACCACTAAGAGTCGAAAAGAAAATTTTGCAATCTTTAATATTATCTATGCTTCGCGATAAAACCAAATTAAGTCTAGGTGCTATACAGTGAAAGAAAATTGCATGTTTAAACTTCGCTTTCATTTTAGCTTGAAGGCCTCCTAAATGGCCAGCCATTACGGCAGCACCATCGTAGTTCTGGGCAGCTTAGAACCATATTCTAAACTTGAAATAATGTCACAAACAATTTTAAACAATGCATCTGCAGTTCGTTCGCTAGTGACGCCCAAAAATCCTAAGAATCGCTCTTGAGGAATGCCATCCAATACATATCGCACAACAATGGATAATTGAGTTAAGTTTGCTACATCTGTGGTTTCATCAAGCGCAATTGATACGAAAGGTGCTTTTTTAATTTTACTTTTGACGTGATCCATCACAACGTCGGCAGTGCATTTAATTAAATCATTTTGGATTGTGTTTGAGGTACCTTGGAAAGTCGTCGAATCAATAAAATGATTTTTTAGGGTATCATCGTATTTTTCTAAAAAACTTAGAAGGTGCATGTAATTTCCTCGATTGGCGGATCCACTTGCTTCATTGTGACCCCTAAAACTTAGTTCATGCTCTCCCAGGAAACAAGTTACATCTATTAATCGTTGTAAGACGTCCCTATTTTTTTTTACCCTTCCATTTGCTTATTTTCAAATGACTGTCCAAACTATGTTCAATGCGATAGGTCCCGAATGTTTTTTCTTTAAATATAGCACTTATATGAGATTTGCTATTTACATGTCGTTTTACACTTTTGTGAAAATTATTTAAGTCTGTAATACCGACTGAGTTCCAATGTGTTTTTTCGGCTATATTAAAAAGTAGACAAGGCCAGCAAAACAATTTCTTCAAAGTTTTGCAGCCGGTTAACCATTCATACTTTTCATCTACGTGAAAATGCCTGGTAAATTTCTTTGTTGACTTTTCTACTTTCGTCTCTAAATTGATAGGATCCTTTAGTCTACTAGAATTAATAATGTCCATTTTCTCTTCAAAATTTCTACTTGAAAATCCTTTTTTCAATAAAGAGCACACAATACAGACACAATTTACCACATTATTATTGTTCTCAGGCACAGTGCAAAGTTCCTCTACTTTACAAAAAGAAAAACCAACTACGAAAAACCATCCGAAATCTACCTGAAGTGTACGATTTTCCTCACACGTCGATTCCCGGTGCGAATTGCAATATGCGTAAGGCGACGTAAAAATCGCTGCCTTTCGAGCGTATTTCACGTGTGACTACTGTCGCTGTAAAGCAGGGTCAATAACACGAAGCGAAATCAATTGCAAGATAATCCGGCTATTTGAAGTCGCGCTTCCGCCGAAGGACTCGAAGTGTGTGTGTTTACACAATTAATTTTCTCATGGGCGATGAGTGCGTTTACACATTCCACCAATGAATTGTTAGTACATTTACGAAGTTTAAGTAATGTTACAGAGAAAATATAGTATCTAATTTATTATTAATTTCTATGCATTGTAAACTGAAAAATATTTATTTTTAAATCTCAAAGTGTAGGGAAGCGGTGCTTCCCCCGCTTCCGTGGACCGCACGTCCCTGAGATTGAGGATCTACATTGAGATCTGTATTATCCTCAAAGATTTTTTTGTACACTTTTGGACATAATTAAAGCCAAAATACTCAAATTTGTAAAAGTTTGATGGCTCTTTGACAACTATGACATGGCTTCTAAGGGTAGAAGAAATGGTGTCATAAGAACTATTTTGGATTTTCTTCCGAAAAGCCAATGTTCCTTTCGCTTTTTAATGTGATCTTTCCATTTAAGTCGAATTGTAACAATAATAATATACCTAATGTTTATTCAAAGAAAAATATAAATAAATAAAAATATTAAATAATTACAAATATAAATAAATATGAAATAAAAGTACAACTACCAAATTAAATTTGAATAATATATTATAAACATTAATAACTCGCTAATGCATTTTAATGCCTGGAATAATATCGTTATTTGTTCTTATTTATTTTTATTCATTTTGCTGAAAAGTAAAAAATCAACATACTCGTACACGCAATTTTAATGCGGAATGTGATGAAAGAAAAAATAATTAAACTTTTATTGATCAATCTAAAACCCATTTTTATTAGTATTATTTTTATTTTATCGGTATCGGTATTAATAAAAAAAAATATTAATACAAAAAGTAGGTCACAAATTATACCGGTTTCAAAATTAATGTATTAAAACAATGGTGGCGAGTTCTGTGGCGAAGGTCTTCATTTAAATTTAAATTATTTTCTTTTTTTATTTCTTTGCTTCTTTGGCATTCCTCTTCTTGAATATGTATTGAAATCTTAAGAACCTGAAAAAAAAAATATATATGTTACTTCCCAACGAATAGAGAGCATAATTAAATACAGAAATAAGTTAATTCGTTTTACCTCTCAAGGGAGTGAATTATAAAGAGAGGGTTAGCTATCTATTTTTTCTGCAAATTATGTAAACGGAATTAAAAACACAGATATACGGGATGTAATTTTGAGGTAATCGATACGTATTACTGATCACATAGAATCCACCAGGGCCCTTTTCTGATATTATAAAAATGTACATGTAGTTATGCCGCATTAAATAATTACACAAAATTGACAAAACACCCTATATCTTGGTTAAAAATAATGTAAAAACCGTTAAATTTGGGTTATTTATTACCACCACGTTTCTCATTCTATCACCCTGTATACTTCTGAGTTGCGCCAGTGGTAACTATTTTGGCAAAAGGGATGAAGTGTATTTATTATGTGAACAATGTTTCGACAATTTGTCCACAACGTTTCATTTCCAGAAATATAGAGTATCCAGAGCCGACAGGACCGGACGGCCGCCCGGGCGCCTAATGCAAGGAGCGCCCGATCGACCAAAATTATGAAATAAAATTATCTATAAACCAAATAAATTGACTGATACGTGACAAAAGTGACAAAAAAGACTTGAGGAGCTAAACTAAACTACGCGTCCAACAGCACTGGGTCAACAAAATATTTTCTTTTAAAATTAAAAAGGGTTATGGATGGGTATAAAGAAGAATTAATGGTGTATAGAACTACTTTTAGATTTTATTTAAATTAAAAAATATATAGGAAGTACCATAAAAAAACAAGAAATTAAGTAGAAGCGTTTTTATTGTCGTGCGAAAAAAAAGTTATTGCGGGTAGGCATTTGAAGGTAATATAAGTACTGGGGGCTTCGGATATATGCAGTGTATCAACATAAGTCATCAGTAAATAGAAAAATGTGTTATTAGTTTTACGAAAAATTACCTTGGATTTTGAAAATATATAGAGATGTTAGTTAAATTCAACACAAATTATAATATGCATTTATATCCATCTACACTGAAAAGAGTAAGATTTTATTATTTTTCACATTTCTCTCTACAACATCCTGCGATTTTTTCCCTACAATTAGATATTTCATCTAGGATGCTATGGCAGCAACAATATGAGAGTCAGTGTCACAGCAACATTTACTTTTAACCCCTTTCGTATTGGCTATTTTGGCAAAACACCCGTTTATAAACCTGATTTTAAAAAAATAACTATTTGTGTATTAAGAGCGGAAAGTGCTACTTTTCCGCTTAAGATAAAAAGTTGCCCCGTGACGTGCAGCAGAGTGCGGCATTTTATCGTAAGCGGCAAATTACACACAAGATTTGTTCTACGATCACACGATATTAAAAGTATATAGTTTTATTTTGCCGAATTCAAATCTTACTACGTTAATTTGATAGACACGGCTAACTTGACTAGCAAACGAAAAGTATGTTATGTGTATATTGTGTTGCCTGCTTACTTAAAGATTAGTTTTATGATTAGCATAAAAAATATTTGTCAGTAAATACAGTTTAAAAATAACTTACAAGATCATCGGTTAGAATACTCAAATCGCAAATTAATGGCTCATACACTGTTTTAAGTTTTATTTAATTTTACAAACAAAAAAATCAAATTAAAAAAATAATAACTGGTGAGGATTGAATTTACGACCATCATGTTCAAAGTCAATCGCGCTAGGCTCTACACCAACAAGACATGTTAAAGATGAGTGTTAAAAACACGGTAATTTATTTTTAATATCTTAATTATCATTTAAATATTAAGGAAAATGAGTATTAAATGTTCAACTAAAAGATTCAGATTAGTCTACATTTTCTTTTAAAATACCGATTAGCTTTATAATAACAACCTTTCTAATGAAATTTTCTAATGAAAATAGGCGTGTGCAAAAAGTAATGTCAAGCTATGACAATTCATGGAAAACGTCAACTTTCCAGTTAGATTTGAATGTGCAAAAGCCTACTTTGAATAGTGATCGTAGAAAAAATATAATAGTGATTTGTAAAAAAAATTCACAAATTTTGAAAAATTTTTAAAGTTCCATTTACCAGACTATACACATACTCGAATGTGCATCATCGAAGGCATCATGCTCAACTATAATATCTACATGTGAATATTTAGTTTATAGAGTTTTTCTTTTAAATAAAATGTACCTATGTGTACCCAAAAATATACATTATCAATATACAGTGTGTTTGTAAATAAGTGCGAAATATTTTAGGGGGTTTGTTGTTAAAAAAAGTTAACGGGAAAAATCTGTGGGTACCATTTTTCTAATTAACAAAAGTTGTGGAATTCCCGCATGATCGCCACTGGTACAAGTAGAAATATTCGGACAACCCCAACAAATGCACATTTATCCCTCTGAAGCGTTTTGCAAATTTCGAGTCAATACATTTAAAACTCTTTGAAATAATTAATAAAACAGTTTCTCATTCACAAGACAAAAACAATTTAAAATTAACTAAGAAGATATATAAGATAAGTAAATAAAAAAAATATAATAAAATTAAAAAATAGTAGAAAATTAATATGAATTATTCATAGATAAAGCTCTTGATTCGGTTTTTAGTTTACAGTACACTACAGAAAATATCACAACTGAAAGTCTACATTACTACACATTAAGGTAATTGGCGCTTTTGACAACAAATTTTTGGTTTAAGCTCGTTTACTTAAAAATGTAATATGACTAGATCAGTGGCGGCTGGTGACCAAAATATTGGGGGTTCATAATAACAAAATATAAATCTCAGTACATATGTAGGTAAAAAATGTCATTGTTCTAGAAAGGTAGGTATATTATACCGTACAAGTATAGAATTGTTATAAACTAAAGCTTTGAAAAAAATTATTTTGGCTCAATGTCAATGCAGATAAAGGTGTATAAAGGAGACTTGGCAAGCCATGCTTAGATGGATACATTGTATGATTATAAAATGATAAATATTTAAATAATAAAAAATGTATTTTGCTCACCTAGTATCTAAATCTTCTTTCCCTATTTTTAATACTGCTTGACAAACATAGAGAAAATACGCATCCAACAACCTAAAAACAATAAAAATAAATACTAATTGGTAGGTATATTTAGTCCAATCACGTTTTTTGTCCGCATGATAAGTTAAAAACGAAAAATGATATTAACTTGAAAAATTCAGGAACAAATCAAGCTCTACAAAGTGACGAAGCCTATTGATTTTGAAAAATCTGAAAGAAAGGAGGGTTGAGGGGAGTTGAAATATTAAAAAAATCCCAAATCAATTACGAAAAATGATATCAACTTTAAATTTTTAGCAAAAATAAAGCTCTATAAGGGGAAGAAACCCTTTTATTTAAAAAAAAATCTGATTAAAAGGGGGTATTTAAGGGGGGCTGAAATAAAAAAAAAATCATAAAAAAGAGAAGCGTTATCAACATGAAATTTTAAGTATAGGAAAATGATCCTGAAAAATAAATATGAATAAGTTGGGGGCTAATGAGGGGGGAGAGTTAAAATATAAAAAAAATCTACTCAAAAACGACAAAATTGAAATTTTTAGCAAAATCAAACTCTATTGAGAGAAGAAGCCTTTTGATTAAAAAAATTCTGATTAAAAATGGGGGTTGAAATTAAAAAAATCATAAATCAAAAACGAAAAGCGATATCAACATGAAAATGTTAGTAAAAACAAATGAATAAAAATGGGGAGGGGGTTGAACTATTTAAAAACATTCTAATTCAAAAACGATATAAAAACGTATAAATAAGAACTTGACACTTGTGGCAAAAATCATACCCTATAATGAGACAAAGCTTAATGATTTTAAAAAACCTGAATAAAATGGGCGTCAAGGGGAGAAATATTTAGTAAAAATCAAGTTCTATAAGGGAATAAAAAAATAAATAAAAATTAGGAGATAAGAGTGCAAGAAATATTGAAAAAAATTCTAACTCAGATGAAGCCTATTGATTCTGAAAAAAATCTAATTCAAAATGGGAGTTAAGGGGTCTGTTAAACTGTGAAGAGTATAATATAGAATGTCAAGCATTATATATCTTCATTCCATTTAGAATTTGGATTTTACGTATAATTGTTATTTATCTAATCTGCTAAAATATAATTATTTTCAACTAAAATATACATATTTACCTCGAGAGCAGATAACGTCAAAACTACTATTCCAATAATTTCCATGGATTTTATTATGAAATCGTAGAAAACATTGATACAACCTTCAGTATAGATGGACGAGTGAACATCTTCATTTGGATAACACGACTTTGGTTTGTCAGTAATGAAACTTGGTCCTTTCGGACCACAACATTTCAACTAAAAAAATAAATATGCATATTATAAGTGGCATAAAAGTATCTATTTCCGGACAAATAATACGGCAAATGAACAAATTAAATGTTATATATCAAAAGAAGAAGTTATAAATGTACAACTCTCATAGACCAGAGGTACTCTTAAGGAGGGGGCTATTTTCATACTAGAAAGAAAGGAGTGTTCTATCGAGATAAACGACTATCCGACTCTGCATATTATATATTCTCCTTTTTTCGTATTTTCCAACAGCTTACTGAGTTATTTGTAGTTTCTCTTCGGCTAATCAGGTGGTCAAATTCTCCTAAGAAGAAAGTTAGTGAGTATTATTATTCATTGTTTCCACGTTGATGTAAGACATTTCCCATGAAATATTGAAAAAAATAAGTTCTCCCTTAGTTTGAAAATAAGTCCTCAGGGCCTCTTAGGGTTGCCACATGTTCTTTTTTGAAAAGGCCAGACCTTTTTTTAAACAAATTGTCCTTGTGGCTTTTTAAACTTTAAAATGTCTTTTTTAAATCTATATTTCAATATTTTTCATGATTGATTTCTTTTTTTTTACTCTTTTTGTGAACCCACTTTATCATTTTACATATTCGTGCAGCTGTCAAAAGTTTGGTCATGTATGTTCAACTTTCCAAACAAATTTGTGTCTAAAACCAACATTTAAAGATTATAATATCTAAACTATTTTGGTTATTTTGCGGTTTTAATGTTATTAGTTGAGGTGATGCAGAATTCTGACTGTTAGAGACTGAAAAGTAAAACCAAATTTAAGGACATTAAAAAAATGGAAAACTGTTTTAATCTGCTTTAAAAATACTCCAAATGTTTTTTCGTTAATTTCATTTTTATTAGGTGTATTTGCTAGTTCAGCATTTTCTGAACGGATTTTAATTATTAAAAGGATTTTGAAGTTACGAGTGGGAATTAAATCGGTTGTAAATTACCACAGAAAAAATACCAGCGATATTGTTGACAACGTAAAACAATTAATTGCAGACATTAAAAACTCTCTTTACCACACATTTCGAAATCATTCAAACTGTGCACAATATTTTTGTAAAAGAGAACAAAACAACAGAGATTATGTGAGAGAAATGGAAGAATGCAGTCTATTGGATGACATTGTATCTGCTGGTTCAAAACAGCCACAGTCTATTATTAAACGTGACTAATAATGGTGCAAAGACATATAATTCAATCGTAGCCAAATTTGTTGGAGGAAATAGAATTAATTTTGCAGTCATAGGAGGATAATATTGTTCGGTGTTCAGCTGCAGCCATTTCTTTTAATAAAAAAGAGAACTATATTCCCATTCTTTATAAAAAGCTGTCAAAAAGCGTTTCTGGAATTCACATACAAATAACGGTTACTCAAATGAGCAAACGTAGATGTAGGTAATCATTTATTTAAAAAATAATTCCACTAGATGACCCTCAAATTACGTTAATCAATAAATAAGAAAGAAAACTTTCGAATACGGCGTCTAGGTAATAAATAAAAATATTCTCTGCAAAGAAACTACTATCAACACAATAGTTGTTACAATATACAGACAAATTTGGCCAGTCCGTGTTTCAGGTGGAGTTGAATACCGAGAAAGGAAGGCGTCCCATTAGACTGCGCGGAGAAATAAGAATTATTACACGTACAATTATCTTTAAACAAATAAAGAGAGGGTTGCGTACAAAGAGATATTCTATGAAATGGATGAGGTATCTCTCAACTTCGACCGAATGGAAAGCGGTAGAATATCCTTAATTAAAAATCATACTATCCTTATTCATAAATTATTAAGTGAATGATGTAGTACTACTATAAACGTAAACGGAAATAAAACTGTCACAATGCAGAATACAGTTTGATTCTAGACATAAAATATTGCAAAACCTCAATAATCTGAAATTGTAGATTTCCTTTAATTATAAGAAACAAAATTTTACGACTTACGCTTGGAAAATAATGAAAACTTCAGTTTTGATTTTGACATTAATGCCATATATATTGCAATTTGCTGGGAGATCTTTCGCAAATTTCATTTTTAATATAAACACTATTACATACTATAAGAAATAAATAAATTTAATGCTCGCAAGTAAGAAAAATTCGAAGAATTCTAGTACTTAATTGTGAACGGTTTGTCAAGTTCTAATTTACTATATTCTTACGGCTAGTCAATGTTATCTGGTTTATTACTGGGCTATAAAGACGGCAAAAAAAGGTTCTAATTTACATTGGAGCGGACTAGATTAGGTACTAAGCGTACAGGGATTCGAAAAAGACGGGGTTAAGAAAAAAAATAAAGCAAGACAGAAAAAGTATCGAATGCGGTGACAGGGCGAAAATAGCAAGGGATTACCTATCGGGAAGTAACTAGGTCCCTGCTCGGGCGCCAAATTTGTAAGGGGTTTTCTCGCCACAGAGAAAACGGTTCCTTACGAATGACGCTGGTTACGGGCGGTTCTCGAGCGCCAGATTTTTGGTTATGGTTTACTCCACAAACTCTCGAAACGGCGTCGAAAGTACTCGGGTAGCAACAGATGGAGATGAAAAATTCCAGGGGTCAAAGGTCACTTAGACACAGGTAATAGTAGGCCACAAGTAACGGGCTTTAATCGTTGCTTGGGCTAGTACAGAATTTATCACTAGCTGATATACAAGGGGGAAATAAAGTATGGAATTATTAACCAGTAATACGGCAAGTTAACATTGACACATATATTGTTTTGAACTATTTACAACATAAAAAAAAGAAATTATATATTTCAACGCCCACCCGAGTTGTGGTGATAGTCAATATAACCCTGAATAAAAAATAAAGAAACAAAACGGACGGTATTGAATCGCGACTAGTCTCAATCAGACGTCAAAATTTAATTAAAATAAAATAAATGTTTCGGTTGCAGAAAAAAAATTATTAAATATTAACTTGGCTATGTACTCGGTAATTAAACTAAAACATAATTTCCCATTTCGGTAAGGAAAAATTCTAAGAACGGTCATAGCAAAAATTAACTGTTTAGCTGTTGTATCGGAAATTAAACTGAAATGTAGGTATTTCACTATTTCGGTAAGGAAGAATTATCAAAACGGTCATAGAGAGTGCGAGGAGACAGGAACGCAAAAGAATTACTTATAGTAAATATCTGGAAATGAAAAAATAAATAAATAAATTTATACCCGGGATAGCCTATTATCCCAAAATGAGCTGATCGTCACCACGAGCCCGCTCAGACAGGGTAATGAAGCTATTTAAGATTTTTTTAAATTTGCAATTTGCACGAAAAAAATGAAGAATACAAACGGAATAAGAAAACTAGCGCGGATAGCACCTAGTCCAAGAATGAACTGATCTTCATCACAAGCCCGTTCAGACAAGGACAGGATACTATTTAAAGTTATGTAAATTGACGGTACAAGAGAAAAACAAACTATTATCGGAGGGAAGAAAATTACTAACGCGGATAGTACCTACTCCAAGAGTAAACTGATCGTCATTACGAGCCCGTTCAAACAGGACAGTATACTATTTAAGATTATTTAAATTTGCGGTTTACAGATTAACTAAAAAAAATTATAACGCGGATAGCACCTACTCCAAGAGTGAACTGATCGTCATCACGAGCCCGTTCAGACAAGGACAGGATGCTATTTAAGATTATTCAAATATACGGTAAAAGAAAAAACTATTAAAAGAGGGAAATGGTCTCCTCGAAAACTCCGTTTATAAATATTCCCAACTTAATTACAACGCGGCACTTACTAAACAAAAGTATTTATCAATAAAATCAAATTTAAGTCCCAGATTTAACCTACCAAAAAAAAAAATAATTTCTTAATACAGACTAACGATTAAAAGTCTAAATCCCCGGTTTTACAATATTACAGAATTAATTCCTATCATTTATTATTTAAATTAAATTCTATTCCCTTTAAAGAAAAGGTATTATATTTGCCAAGAAATAAATTCTAATATTTATTAATGAAATCAAATTTAAAATCTTTTAACTCAACACTATCTATAAAAAACGGTATTATTCTTGCCAAGTAACAAATTCTAATATATATTAATAAAATCAAATTTAAAATCTTTTAACTCAACACTATCTATAAAAACGGTATTATTTGTCAAGAAATAAATTCTATTATTTATTAATGAAATCAAATCAAATCTTTTAACTAAACACTGAATGAAAATGTTCCTATTCCTACAAGCTAATTCGGTTTTTTAAAATGAAATACGGTCTCAATATAAAACGTAAAAAGCGAAACAAGGTTTTTTACCTAACGGATTTGTAAACACGAGAAAGAAAAATTATCGGCGGTGAATTGCTTTATGGTGCGGCTTATTATTCTCAACTGGTGACGGTCAAATATATCGAACTCAAAATTTTAATTTCATCTCGGGTATCGTTCAACTGTAGATTCGCTTTCCCTATCAGAGACCCCACCAACGCCAGTCCTACCGCGTATCGATATCTCGATCGGCGTTCGCGCATCTGTAAATTAACTCAAGACCTACAGTTCTATCGCGTTTAATATTTACTAAAAATGAAAAATGAAAATAAACTGATTGAGGAAAAATTGACTTCATATAAGATTTAAATGTTATTTCATAATATAGTCCCTCGTATTTGATTCGCCTTGAGTAAATGTCAATTTTAATTAAATCGTCGGGTGTCATACCATAAAACAGCTTTAAAAAGTTGAAAACGTTGTTACAATTCGATAAACATTGAAACCTTTCTTCTACTGATATAAGAGCTCTATCTCTTACAAAGATATAAAATTGTATATAATATTTTTCGATATCGTTAGTTTTTTCTGCCTTATACGAAAAAGTAAAAAATGTATTTAAAGGTATGGTCCGTTATTAACCGACTACTAACCGATAGTAACCAGGATTTTTAACAACGGTTCCTGAAAAAAACCAACTTCTTGGTTACTTTTGGACCACGGCCAAGATTTACATCACTTTTGTGACAGATTGACATTCGACTTAATAGTAACCGTAAAAATATAGTGTTGCTGCGTTTGAGAATTCACGTCGGATGCATTTTTTACATCTCGAGCGGTTTTTTATCCACATCGGACACATCTGTCCCATTACATTTACGTATACTGAATCACGTGATCAAAGATTTACTACATCTCAGATGCATCCGATGTGGATTCTCAAACGCGGCAATAGTGGTTAGTGAAATGACGTTTGAGTCACCATTTTCACATAACCTCGTCCATAATTTAACCGATTTTTCAGTAATGTCAAGCAGAGCGGTTAGTTTTGGACCGAGTAACCGATATTTCGGTTGTTAATAACGGACCATACCCTTAGGGTAAAGAGAGGAGAGATGGACCAGGAGGAGTGACGGACCACCACGGATATTTCGTAAACTACGGCAACGTCGATGTTTCACGCGGGAGCACATCTCTGTTAGCACCTGTTGACATAGAAAAACACACTTGTTGTTTATTTTGATGTGTTTCATAACAAATATTTAATATTGTAACGGTTTGGCTCTACGGACGAGACAGTGCAAGGGTTTGCCACAACAGTACGAGACAACGAACCGTCAAGGTGACAGGAAACCCAACCTACAATCGGGCAGGCTGACAGAAACTTGGAGAAAGTGTGAAGAATGATCGAGAACGGCCATGGAAGCCGTTACCATAGATTATTGATGATATGACTGTCAATTTTTAGTGGAAGATAGAAAGCCGGTCAGCGCGTGGCGGATCAACGTTTCAATTGTAAATAGTAATAATTGTAAATAGTTTACGCGTTGGGATAGTTATTTTGTATTTTAATTAAATAAATAGTTTCAACCCACACTCGTGTTACAATATTTTTGGTTTTTCTAGTGTGACAAATTTATTTGCAAATATTTGTGATAGAGTTTGCAACCAGCTTGGTAAGTTATATTGCAAAATTGGGTCATACAATAACCTTAAGATATCTGAAGTTTATTCCTAACCTAAAATGTTACCATTTAATCAATTCAGTTAAAAGAAATCAGGAAATCAGGTGGTCCATCTCTCCTCTCGAAAAAGGAGAGATGGACCAGTCTACCGGAGGATAGATGGACCTGGTTTTTAAACATATGTTGTGTTTTAGACAAATGCTAATACGTATAAACGCAAGGTTAATGCACCCCAAGAGGATTATGTTTAGCAAATGATTTGGAATCAGCCATAAATGCGGTCAAAGAAGGTGCCATGGGTGTTAACCAAGCTGCTATACATTTTAAAATACCAAAGACTACACTTAAACGAAGAATAAAAAACAATAATACAGACAAACTAAACAGATTAGGGCCGGATTCAATGCTTGGAGTAAACGCTGAATCGAAAATTACCAATCATATTAAAAACCTTAAAAAAAAGTGTTTTTGCCCTAAAAGACAGGAAGTAAGACAAATAGCTTATAATTTGGCAGTAAAGCTAGGGATTAAGAATTGATTTAACGAAAATAGAGGTGAGTAACTGCTTACAAGCTATACAGAAAAATAACATTTTTATTATTTTAGGTAAGGCTGGACAAAAGTGGTTGGAATCATTTCTGAGAAGAAGATCTGACACTGTTGTTAGAAAAGCTGAAAACCTCTCAGTTGCTAGGACTATGGGGATGTCCAAAGATGTAGTGCAATCTTATTTTAAAAATCTGGAACGCGTTTTAACAGAAAAATCACTTTTTGATAAGCCGGGTAATATTTTTAATTGTGATGAGACCGGCCTTCAATTAAACACTCGGGCTGGTGAAGTATTGGCGGAAAAGGGGTCAAGGTATGTTCCTAGTATTAGTCCCAGAGAAAAGGGCAAAACAATTACTTTCTTAGCATGCATAAACGCCGAAGGTGGTTTTCTACCGCCCTACTGTATTATAAAGGGTAAAAATGAAAAAAATTAATGGAACGAAGGTCTGCCACCTAATTCTCGGATAAAAATATCCGAAAAATCTGCCTACGTCAATTCAGATATATTTTTAGACTGGTTAAAAAACCACTTTTTTCCTAAAAAACCAAATGGAACTATTTTGCTTATAATGGACGGACATTCTTCTCATACCTCAAATCTTGAAACACTTCAATTTGCGGAACAACATGATATCATACTTTTTTGTTTACCGCCCCGTACAACGCATATGCTGCAACCTTTAGATAGATGTTTTTTTAAAGCTCTAAAGGGGCACTACTATAAAGCTTGCAGGTATTTTATAAAAAATCAACGAGATCGAAAGTCGGATGCATTTCGGAAAATTATTGGGCTAGGCATGGGGCAAAGCTGCTACTGTACAAAATGCATTGTCAAGTATTCGCGCCACTGGTACAATGCCTTTTAACCCTCATATTATTCAGGTTTACGCTTTTCCCACGCAAGATGGAGAACTAGCTGATGCACACAAATTAGATGAAGATTTATCTGCCGACGAAAGGGCTTATTCGCCGCATCCGGGTCCATCTGGGTTGCAAAAGTTACAAAAAACACTCCTGAGAAACAAGTTCCTAAATTAATGCCCGGAAAAATATTAGATGAAATTTCTCCAGTGCCAGTGGTTACCCCAGCTATTAAGAAAGCTCGACGTAAAATAAGTGGGATTTTATCCTCTGAAGAAGGCATTAAGAAAACTGTTAAATCCAAAAAAGTAGAAATAAACGAAAAATCAAAGAAAAAAAAAGAAAGTCGTGTCCTCTTCAGAATCAGAAGAAAATCTTCAATTAGACGATTCTGAAGAAGTTGAAAATCTGAAATATTTAGAAAATGAAAGTGTAGGTTGCGGTGAAGATTACAGAAAAACAAATAAAAAGGAAGATTGGATCCAATGCATTATATGCAAGCGATGACTCCACGAAGGTTGTACGAACTTTGAATCCATATGTTATGCTTATGTCCATCTATCCTAGTATATGCAGTCCATCTATCCTCCGATTTGGAGGAGAGTCGGTCCAATGTAATGTTTTACTATTTTTGTTGCCATGTTCTTTAAAATAGTCGTTATAATCAAATTTTACTCTGGGTTTAAAGTATTAGCTTTACTTTATATTTTACCAATTTTATTAGGTTTATATATGCTTTAATAAAGTTTTAGTTGTGATATTTCTAAAATATGGTCTATCTCTCCTTTCTTTACCCTACTGGGTATCTTCCGATGGCTTGCGGACCCCCTTAGCCATCTTTGTGCCTGCACAACCTACAAACCCCTAAGCACGGCCCTGCATTTATAAAGCCGGTACTATCTAAGGTTTCTTTGAAATGTCCTTTAATCACTTTTTAAAAAGCTGGCAACCCTAGGGCCACTATGCTATGCGAATTTTGACAGCGGTTCTTTTAAAAAGTGAAATATTGAAGTGAAGTCACTTCCTATTAAAATCGAGAGGACATACTTCTCTTGATCAATACCAATAGAAGAGCGTCCATATCGGGAGAAAATTGAGTAAACAAAACGTAATTTTTAAAATACTATAGTTTACTTAAGCTATAAACAAATAACAATTCTTTTATATTTTCTTGGAAAAGCTGGAAAAGATGAAAATTGTTCTTAAACATATTTAAAACCAATCGATTATTTGGCTTTTAGGAAAGTAAATGGTCATAGGAAAAGCGGGAATAAAATACTTATAGCCTAATACACAAAACATCTTTAAATATTTACGGACGTGTAAATCCTTGAAGATAGAAGTATCAATGTCAAAGCAGGGTTGGGCAATGTTGTGATTTTTCACTCATACTGTGTATGGTTACTACTTTACTAAATATTAGCAATTAACTCACAGTTCGTGAAATATCGCCCAAATCTATTAAAGATTTATTAAAGTTTACTGATATGTAAGTTAAAGATCATTTGTAAATTAGGCCATTAGAAGTTTTACTGATATTTTCGCTGAAAAATGTTTAAACTAAAGATATGATAATCGGTAATCGAAAGAAAAACGAGTTCTGAAGCGACTGACAAAATGCCCTCATAATTATTATAAGTGATGAAGAATCTAGAGACATTTACAAGAATAATAGATAAACTCACCTGTGATTGAATGAAATCCCGTAATTCTCTACTACTAGCATCATCATTTTGACTAAACAATTGAGTAATTGAATTATCTATTTTCACTTTGAAGTCATTTTTATCTTTAATTTCTAAGAAAACAAAAACTCCAACAGCGATTTGCAACAAAAATATAACCAACAATATTACTGCATACTAAAAAATTATAATAAATTAATTTAAAATAAGTAAGTGAGTTTTATACATACCGTTGTAAGTAAGCAAGTACTTTCTCTGATAGCTCCACAACAACCCAAGAAAGCTATGACAAAAATGATTGAGCCCACAACAATAGTTAAGGTTGGCGCCCAATTTATAGCTTGATAATCACTTGGGAGCGCGTTCGTGTAGTCATCTAAATTTAATTTGTATAGTACTCCCACAATGACGAGTGCCAAACCGCCAAGCTGAAATAAGATTATTTATTAAAATATTGAGAATTTCTTTTCGAAGCTATGCAACTATACTAAAGACTAAAGGTGCGTTTAGTCAGCCTGATTTTGTTTTAAGCACTAACATAGACATTAACATAAACATTAATTTAAAGATTTTAAAACAAAACCGTTTATACAGAAAATTTAAGCATTAACATAAGATTTAACGAATCATACAAAATGGAAAAAAGGCGTATGGGAGCTGCTTCTGAAATTGCTCTGCAAACTATCTCACAATTACTATTAATAAAAGTGCAGAAAAAGAGTTTAGAAGTTCAAAAGTTTAAAGTTAGGAAAATAGGTTAACCTCACTTTGTGAACGCACATGCGCAATTGTATTTTCGACATTAATTTAAGCATTAAGTTGGATTTTATTTAACTTCACTAAGTTTATGTTAATGTTTATGCTTATGTTATTCTGTATAAACAGGTACATTGAAATGTACTGAAATTAACTTTTATGTTAATGTCTATGTTAATGCTTAAAACTAAATCATGCTGACTAAACGCACCTTAAGTTTATGGGTAAGTTCCACCATAGAAAAATAAAAAGAGAAGGTTTGAATAAATGGCGGGACTTGCTTCCTTGTTGGTAGTTCAACCGTAAGCGCTTAGCGCGCTGCCATCACTAAATTCAAACCCGTTTTACACCCATAAAAAAAAATGTTTTCAAAAATAATGACAAAGAAATCAATAATTTTACTGATTTACCCCTTTAAATTTCACTTTAATATAATGTGAAATCAAATACAGGGATAATCGTTAATAAATATAAAGTTAAAGCTAAATTTAAATATTTTGAGAGAGTGTAAATCTGGCTTTGAAAATAAATTAGGTTATATCGCCACAAATATGTCAGCCTGATATTATTTTTATTTTCAAATGTAGGTGAGTAAATTGTATGAATGTAGTGTAAGTTTTTTTTTTTTTTAATTTAAAATTTATAATTTATGGCCTTGGCATTGCCAATTGGCCAGACTAATAGTGGTTAGATTTAGCTAATTTAACTAAAGGGCTGTTCTTAAGAATGTCAGTTACTTCTGATTCATTTAAATTTTAATTGCAGAAGTAAATATTTTTCTCACAAAACTAACAAGAAATTTTATATTTTTCCTGCTATTATTAGGTATTACTCTTAGAGATAAATGGATCGACATTTTAAACATTTGTGGTCAAAAAAATGAAAGGAGTTGTTAGAGAAATGTGTGAATCCAATGTACAAACAGGTATAGTAGAACTCAAGATAGAATCTCATCATAGTTTTACTCATAAAAACCATGATGAAAAAAGGCGAATGATTTGTGCTTAAAAGTTATTGTTCAATTTTTGGCTGGTATTCATTATTATATTTATAAATAATACCCAAATATGTTCAAAAACTAATATGATAACCGTAATAACCGTAAGCGCTTAGTGTGCTACTGTGGAAGTCAAGCAAACTTGTTACCAACTATTTACATGGAATCCAACCCACGTGAGTTCCACTACTTGTTTGTATTTAGCATAAAGTCACTCATCTGACTACAAAAAGTGACTTTTTGTATTGTTTCGTGTGTTGCTGACAATGATATAATTTGCTCTTCCGTTGCTACTTCAGATGTAGGGAAATTCCTACACTTAACCGAAAGTAGCAAAACCGGACGACAAATAATATTTGCAAAGGGAGCTTTTTTATTGTTATAGACGTCTAGTAGCATATTATTTCATCGCCACCAAAAAACGAAAAATCCATCGATAAGCAAGCTTGCTTTGAATTTGACAGATTACACGACAGCTCTTACCACCGGCACTTAGTATATGTTGTTCAACCCCCACCCCGTAACCAAAAAAAATATGTTGCAGTTTTTGACCTCCTCATTAAAAGTACCCAAGTGCACAAAGTTCTCCTACGACTAGATTTTGAGATACAGGGTGTTGAACTTGTGAATTCTCATAATTTTCAATAATACTTTAAGGCGTAAACTTATTTTGCTGATAATCATAAATATTACAAGTTACGGTTTGACTCTCTAAAGGTATTTATGACTAACAAAATACAAAACAACTTAACAGGTTGTTACGGAATATTATGAAAAAAATTTAATGATAGATTCTACATCTTAAAATATAAAAAAAAAAAAAACGTTAATATGGACATGGGTTCGGAAATGCTCCGTTTTTAATAGTTTGTCTTACATTTATCGGTAACCTGTTAAGTTATTGAAATGAGTTTTGATACACGCAAATGTATCATGAAAGCTTACATTTACATTTACCAAATTGTATTCTAAAGCAATTACATAACTACCGTTCGTGTCGGCAAGTCTATGTTTAGCGGAAAAAACTGTATGCTACTGGTTTTTGCAAAAATTAGTGACGAATTCATAAAGTCAGATTAATTCTGCTTAAAAAGTGCCTTTTGGGCTTTTCGTTCTGATACATCGTTTTATTAATCAGTGCAATAATAAGCCATCTAAGTCACTTTCGCATATTTTTTCTCACTCTTCTAAATATTTAAGGTCTTTGACGTATAGTCTTACAAGCATTGGTAACAAGTTTCAGTAATTTGGCATCATCCGCTATGGGAGTAGAATACAGCAGTTGCTTAAGACGCAGAGGTAGAAATCGCAAGGATTTAAGTCAGATGATCGGGGTGGCCAAGAAAAAGGCACGCCTTGAACAATCCAATTTGAGCAGATGCTTTGTCATGCATAAACCTAGGCTGGGTAATTCTCCTGTAAAAAAATGCAGGTATGTTTATCCGTTTAATCTTCTAGGTAAAATTTAGAGTCCAACCAAATAATTTTGAACTATTCCTCTCGGCATACTGATTACACTGCTGCTGGTATCGCGATTGATGAATAATATTTTGATTATCATCTGCCCAGTAATGTTTATTTTGAAAATTAAAAATTCCATTTCTGGTAAATGAAGCTTCGTGAACAAAATAAACAAAATAAATAGCTCGATCTTCTGGATTTCTTTGGCTTAACCAATGGCAGTACAGTACCGTAGTCTGGCTGGATTGTCTACTTCAGAAAGAACTTTGCAAATGGTAAGGATAGAGCTGCTGCTCACGGATTATTCGCCATACATTAATGTAGTTAGTATTCCCTAATTCATTTGCTTTCATGAATTTGTTCAACCGCTCTTAAAATATTTTTCGCTATTTGAACAGTTCTTGGTGCACCACAATCAACGAAATTTCCTGTTAGTTTTCCTGTTTCTCTCAAGCGACTACGAACGCTTACAAAGGCGTTTTCACAAGGTAACCAGGAAATGCACCTTCATAAAGATGCCTTGCTTCTTACAAATTTTCATTCACTTTCTGATACTTAAAATGAATGTAAATTAAACGTAAAACTCATCCTAGTAAATACTTATTTTATTAGAGAACTTATTAAAAATTAAATAAAACAGCACAAATTCAAATCGCTAGGCAATTTTGTCATTTCTTTTTATTTCAGTTTGACAAATTTGTTTTATTTACGGTTCCGAAAATAGATTATTGTACTGATTAATTAAATAATTTTTCAGAATTAATCTGACGGCTGAACTTTCATTTAGCCGAAATCTGTTATGCAAAAAGTGTTGTCATAATAACAATTGTGATGGCTATGAGTAAACAAAAACTCTAATCTCATGATGAGGAAATGTGTATTTGCCAAGTTATAGATCATTTAATGTTTACTTTAGTTTAGCTGAAATCAGTTATGGAAAAACTGTTTTCATGGAAACGCTTGTCATGCTAAGGACTAAACAAAAAACCAAATCCGGCAGAGAGGAAATGCGCAGTTGCCAAGGTATATATTATTTAATGTTTACTTTAGTTTAGCCGAAATTACTTATGAAGAAACTGTTGCCATGAAAACGCTTATTATGCTAACGACTAAACAAAAACCCAAATCTCGTGGTGAGGAAATGCGTAGTTGCCAAGTAATGGTTAGTGGGTGGGTGGAAAGAGCGAAGCGTGATCTTATGATGTAGGTGGAAAAAGAGCGCGCCCGGCCGACATTTCAAAATTCGCGCGCGCGAATTTCGAAACTTCGGCTGGGCGCGCTCGCTTCGCTCGCTTTCCTCTGTAGTAGTTAGGAGGTGGGTGGGAGGAGCGTAGCGTGATCTTATAGAGAAACTGTTGCCATGGAAACGCTTGTCATGCTAAAGACTAAATAAATCCCGTAGTGAGAAAATGCCTAGTTGCCAAGTTATAGATGGTTTCATTTTCACTTTAGTTTAGATTGGGATATTGTGTTAAGAGTTAATCTAAATATAAGAGGCAACTACGCATTTCTTCACCACTGGATTTAGGTTTTTGTTTAGTCGACATCACGACATCTTCATAACCGATTTCAGCTAAACTAAAGTGAAAATTAAATGACCTGTAACTTGCCAACTATGAATTTTCTTACCACAGGATTTGGGTTTTTGTTTAGACGTTACCATAACCAGTGTCTCTATGGCAACAATTTGTCCGTAACTGTTTACAGCTAAATTAAATCATCTGTAACTTGGCAACCACGCATTTCCTCACCATCGGATTTGACTTTTTGTTTAGTCGTTACTCTGTCAAGCGTTCCCATGGCAACACTTTTACCATAACTGATTTCGTCTAAACTAAAGTGAACATTAAATAATCTATAACTTGGCAAATATGCATTTCCTCACCACGAGATTTGGGTATTGGTTTACTGGTTACCATGGCAACGGTTTCCATGGCAACAATTTTTACGTAACTGATTACGGCTAAGCGAAATTTGACCCCTTGCCGGAACGAACGCCACTGATGTAAGTGCTTTAGAAAACAATTTTGTTATAATATTAACTTGCATTTGCGTGTATCAAACCTTAATTCAATATCTCAACGGGCTATTGATAAATGTAACATAAACTATTAAACACGGAAAATTTAAGCACACCGTATCATAAAAACAAAGCATTTCTGGACCCATGTTTATATACAATTTTTATATGTATATGTAGAATTTGCAATTAAA